GGTCACAGGGACGGTTTCAAAGTTTCAAGACCCAACGCCGTCCCCACGCGCGCGCCCTCCTCCTCTCGTTGCCCGCCGCCTGCTTCGAATTCGCCTCGACAAAAAAGAAGGTTAAAAAAAAGAGGCGGCGACGGTAGAAGAGCACAATGCAAAGAAATTAAGGGATAGAAAAAAAAAAAACGGTACCGACCAGCTTCCAAGCCGTCAATTTATTAGGGACGGCGTCTCTGAAGAAGATTATGCGGGCCAATAAATCGCATAGGCGCAAATACCCCCGAGAGATAATTAGATACTAAGATTACCAGTTTCGTCGGTACCTCAGTCGGGGCATGGTGCTCTTAGTTGGCAGAAATCTATGTCCCTGAAATTGACGCTGCACCGCACACGCGATGTCGCCCAATCCGTCCCCAGTTCTCATAACGCAGAATTCAGCTTCTGCAAGGGGTACAGGGAAATGTTGGTTACCGAAAAAAAAAAGCTGTGTTATACTGCGGCACCCCCAATTGCACTGTGCAGCACTTCGCAGGCAACAATGAGATTAGGAGAGTATTATCCGTGAAATACCACCCGCACTGCACGTCCCGCCAGTGCCTTAACTTATTGCAGCGGCGAGCTACAGGTGCAACTCCCGTTTGCTCATCAAATGACGAGACGCCACTAACACATACCGCATCCCTTACTTGCCCATACATGTCGGAACAGATGAACCACAAAACACATGCAAAGAACCAACTGCCAGCATCATAGCATCGCGTCTCCATCACCCCGTCATCAGAGACACGGCTTATTACTTTGGCAGCAGCGCCAACCCAAAGGGGAAAAACGAAACAAGTCCTATTGAATAACAACCCGTTGACCAATATGTCCCGAAGAAGTTGCCTCGGCCCCATTGCTTATTATTCCGAGTATATTTGTCGCCATGGCAGCGGAGAACGAGTGTTTCTTCCGCTACCCCCACCCCCACTTTTTGTTTATTTGCTCGCTGTAGCTGCTCTGAAGGACTCGGTTTAAGAATAGCTCTGCTTCAAGATATGACTGCCAATAAGCTTTACCGCAGCATCAAAACTAACAGAACCCCGCATCTCGTAGAGTGGAGGCACGGAGGATTCATTCGCGCCAAAAAGAAAATCCTCAAGCAAATTCATAGCGTTTGTCTCATCATACAACGAGCGTAGAAGATAATGCCCTTTAAAAAGGGCGCCAGACTTTCCTTCCGCAAGGGTTTTCAACAACCCAAGGCTTTTTTCTCTCTTCTCCCACTTCAGTACTTGCGTGCTAAGGCGTGAATGCGGCCTGGAAAGCTCCTGGACGTCCCAATTGAGCAGCAAAATCCCCTTCAATCGTGCAATGAGAGTGGGGCACCAACGCTGACGCCCAAAGGCCTCCGCAATATGAATCTGGTGGTTTGAGCCAATATTCCAAATGGTCAGCTCATTATTTCGAATGAGCTGCTGTATCGTGGACGGGGAAAGCTGAAAGGTGCGGGCTGCCTCCGCCAACGTGGGGTTCGCGCGGAGTGTCCCCAGGAGAGCCCCAACGCCCACTTTCGCGGAGGTGGGAAGGCCCATGAGAAGCACTGTGGATTCATCGGGGCTCGGTGTGGCGGCAACAAGAGTGCCTGCTTCGGCAAGGTAGAAGTTCTCTAAACCCACGACACGAAGACGAGGTGACGAGGTCGCAAGGCTGTGGAGCGCCAACGTCGTTTTGCCACTTCGTCGTGGTCCTAGTATCAAAACTGCGTCGCCCTTGTCATTGCAAAGAGCGGCTCCATTTATCCAGAGACCCTGATGCATGGGAATCACAGTACTAGCATGCGCTAGTTGCACCAGGCGACTGACGTCGTCGGTTCTAAACTCCGCACTGCTTGGATCCGGAAGGCCAAACAGACCCCACGAAGACAGGAGCTCATTGGCACAGTAGTAGGGAGACACGTCACTCGGTGACAGTTCCAAGCTTAGTCGACGGGCCAACGCCAACGTTTGCGGCATGTTACTACTTGTTAAACCGACGTGGGCCACAACCCGACGAGAAACAAACCCATCAAGCAACGGCTGCGTGATCCACCTTGTAGAGTGTGGGCTCCCCACCAAGTCCGTTCCCTCCCGAGCGGCATGCTCTTCGCCTCGGCGAACGGCTTCAGTGAAGTTGATGACTTCGGAAACAAGGGTGTAAGGATACCCCAGAGACTTTGGCGGCCCAACGTGGACGCAGAGATCAGAATTGGTGCCATCCTCAGGCTCCTCCTTGGCGGAGATGGGGTGGAAGAAGCCGAAGTATTCCAACTGAAACCATCTCAGCAGTTCTTCATGGCTGGTGGACACTTTAATGCGCACCGGGGGTAGTGGAGCCCCGTGCACCGCACACGAGGCCGATGGCAGGCGTATTTCGCCTTCATGTGGAGTCACCAACTGGCGTCGTAATGTCTTGAAGCGTAACTGTCGCCAATAGCGCGCAGCCGCCGTGCTTTTTTCACGTACCTTCGCCCCGATAACCATCTTTGCAGGTATGCCAGGCCGCTTCAAGGACACATGGGGGAAAGCCAGGAGAAAGCAAAAAAAAACAACAACAACAACAACAACACAGGAAGCAAGCTATCAATCACACAGATGCACCCAAATGCCTGCACAAGCGAGCGAGAGCAAGAGAAAGAGAGAGCAAGAGAAACAGAAATACTTTTGGCCGATCTGCCCCAGCAAGCGAAACGTGGCGTGGAGAGAGAAATAGAAGAGCAAAAACTGTAAAAACTAAAAAAAAAAGTCAAGAAAGAAAGAAAGAAAAACGGAAAGAAGATAACTCTCCCCATTTCACACATTTGCCTATTTTTGCTTTTTTTTTGTTTTTGTTTTTTTTGTTGTTGTTGTTCGTTTTCGATCCCTCACGTCGCTTGCCTTGTTTACCGCAGGTTTTATTCTTCTTGCTTTTTGCTCTTATTGTGGTTGTTATTGTCGTTGTTCGGGTTGTTGCCGTTCTTGTTATTGTTGTAGTTGTCCTCTTGGCGAAATTGGGAGTCCGCAGCACAGGTGCCTGCATGCACACACTTGGAGCGAATACAGCCAACACTCACCCACACCCAGAGAGAAAAAGAGCTTTTGATGCTTATCTCCACAAGATTTTCATTTTGCTTTTATTTTATTTTTATTTTTTTTACCCTCACCTCCGAGAAATAGTTTAGGAGGGAATAGATCGTTATTGTTTTATTTAGCAACCGTATCATTGCGGTCGAACAACCCGCAGAGAGAAATAAGTAAGAAAAAGCCCAGCTCCCATATGGAGCATAAACACACACACACACACACACACACACACACACACACGCACACACACACACGCACACGCCACCGTCTTTCGCCTTTTTGTTTTCTCTACTGATGCAAGCAA